CTGAGCGCTTGGGCAATTGATGGTGTCGTCTAGCCGATTGGCCACCGTCTTTCCAGAGAGTAAACCAGAAGGGCCGTTGCAAACAATAACTGCAAGAATGCTTTATTTAGAAATGGTTGGTTGAAAAGAAATATGAAATAATTATATGCGTCGTCCTTTGGCTACAATATTAAGTGGTGAAATTCCAAAAATAATAAGTATGATTGGCAATGACCGACGTATATAATTATTTATTGGAAATGCCAACGATTTCTCACCAACAATACCTATATGTAAAAATAAATATAATATTTAAATTTTTTAAATAGAAAAATTATGTATTTTTAATCCATAGTTTTTATTCGATTCCTTTTAAAATGGTTTATGAGATGTAGTAGTTTATTTCCAGTAGAATGCAAAGAAATTAACTATTAGGAAGTAGCAACAACCGGATGTGGTTGATTTCTAAAAAAAATATGGTGTTAAAATCGAGCATACTCTCCTCTTAATTACTTAGCTTCTTTTATGTTTTGAGTCCAAACCATTAATGTTCGTTGATGAATCCAACTGCAATTTTCTAAAAAAATTTAAAACTACTTTGTAAACAGCAATATATTTTTCATTTGCATTAAGTTTGTCCATCAATTTTAAAAAAAGTTTGCCCTACCCTTTAGGAAAATATTAATCAGCTAATTTTACCATTTTGGTTTAAATCCGTTATTTGTCAGCAAGATTGTTATCACCTTTATCATGCCATCGTTTCTATCAGCTCCTCCTGGTTCAATGTATTTAATATAACAAAACATATGCAATTATAACAATGTTTCTTATCCATATATGGGGTTCCATAGGTATATATTATTGTCCGGAATAAATTGTATAATAAGCAGGGAATACATTGCCCTTTTCTTGACGTTTTTAGGCTTGAAAGAAACATTATTTTATTTTTGAAGGTGTTTAATTCTGGCGACGGTGCGCCAAGAAACTGCACTCCTAAGGGTACACCTTAACAGGATGATTTCCTTTCCCAGATTTAAAATTAACTGCTCATTCTCAGTGTCGGTAGTCTAAGCGGTGTTACATTCGGTTCCATGAAAGCAGAGATAGAAAGATAGAGAGAGAGACAAAGAAAAGACAGAGAGAGACACGAAGAGAGACAGAAGACACAGAGAAAGAAAGAGAGAGACAGCAGAGAGATAGACAGAGACAGAGAGAGATAACAGAGAGAGAGACAAGAAGAACAACAGAGAAAGAAAGAGAGAAGACACAGAGAAGATAGACAGAAGACAGAGAGAGACACAGAAGAGAGAGACACAGAAGAGCGAGAACACAGAAGAGAAGAGACACAGAGAGAGAGACACAAGGAGAGAGAGACACGAAAGACACAGAGAAAGAAAAGAGAAGAGACACAGAGAGAGATAGACAGAGACAGATGAGATTGATCACAGAGAGAGAGACAACAGAAGAGAGAGACACAGAGAGAGAGACACCAGAGAGAGAGGGACAACAGAGAGAGAGACAAAAGAGAGAGAGACACAGAGAGAGAGACAAACAGAGAGAGAGACACAGAGAGAGAGACACAGAGAGAGAGACCACAAAGAGAGAGACCACAGAGAGAGAGACACAGAGAAAGAGACACAGAGAGAGACACAGAGAGAGAGAAGAGACACACCAGAGAGAGAGAGACACACAGAGAGAGAGAGACCCACAGAGAGAGAGAGGACACACAGAGAGGAGACACACACAGGAGAGAGAGAGACACTAACATGAGAGAGAGAGAGACCACACAGAGAGAGAAGACACACCAGAGAAGAGACAGAGAGACACAAGAGAAAGAGCACAGAGAAAGAGACACAGAGAAAGAGACACAGAGAAAGAGACACAGAGAAAGAGACACAGAGAGAAACACAGAGAAAGAGACACAGAGAGAAACACAGAGAGAGATAGAGAGTGACACAGACAGAAACACATGCAGAATCACAGACTCACACAGAAACACACACACAGACACACAAAGAGACACACAAAGAGGTACACACGCAGAGACAGACAGTGACACAGACAGATACATAGACAGAGGCACAGGCAGAGGCACAGACAGAGACACAGAGAGAGAGGAACACAGAGGGAAAGATACAGAGAGAGATAGACAGAGGGAAAGACACAGAGAGACACACAGAGTGAGAGACAGAAAGACAGAGAGACAGAAAGAAAGAGAGAGTGGGAGAGACAGAGAGTGAAAGAGGGTGTGACAGGGAGAGTGACTGACAAAGTGACTGAGAGAGTGTATGAGAGTGTCCAAGTTTCATAAATACTAGTATTTATTCATCCTATCTAATACAACACCAAGACATATTCAAGTACGTGAAACTGAAATTTATAATTTAATCAGCAATGATGTACAAAACCTCCAAAACTATTTGTTAAGATTGCATCTTCCGTGTAACTTATAAACTTAAAAACAGTAACAAATATTTGATGTTTTAATCACTACCAATCCATCGATACAAATTATACAATGATGTTCAACTCACATGAATACTACATGTACAAAATTTCCTTTACTAATGCTGAAAATATTCAGCATACAAATCAAAATAAATTTGTTACCTAGTCGGCGAAGGTGTCCCACATGCTACTTGAAGCATAGTACATATCAGGAAAAGTTACCTCACCGTTATGGAGTTCGCTCATAAGCGGTAGCCGAAGTTCATCTATACGACCGGAATGGCCTTACAGCTGTGGCACGAAATGGCAGCACGGTCTCAAGCTTACGTAGGTCGCCTATCAACACAACTAGGTTGTACTTGTGAACTGCCAATTTAACCTGTAAATGTAGCTGTGAGCGCGATATGCCAAGTTGCTTCTCACTTGTGGCGGATAACACGAAGCCTCGTGGTTTGCTAGAAAAAAACCAACACCAGGAACCGCGTCGTTGAGGTGGGGGTACACTACTTATTCAAAACAATATACAATTTCATTTGAACACCACGCCGACACAAGAAATTCTGAAAACAAACCACGCGGAGGGCAGAGAGAGGTAGGACCCGTTCGCAACGATTTCCATGCTACGATTCCCGTTCACCTGGTGGATCGCGAATCGTGACGTCATAACGTCCCTGCTCGTTCTCCGCTCAATTCGAACGAGTTCGAACAAAAAGTATTTGAAGGTTTTCTTATGCTGATGAATCAGTTTTATTTGAAATAAACTTTATTATGTTAGCCATGTTGATATGTTTTATAAAAAAAATATTATTTTTTAAAATAATCATTATGAACAGTTGGAAGACGTATTAGGATAATTCACATTACAGTGAAACCAGGTTGACTCTCAGTGGTAAATTTCAGTTGTTCGATATTCAAAACTATATTACTTTAAATCAATATTTAAATCAACCTTAAAATGCTTAGGAACGGTAAATTAAAATTGAATTTTTGATATATGAGCATTTTAATATTTTTGTGGTATGTTGAAACTTTATATAATAGTTTGATTGGTTACTAATATTAATTTTTTTTTGCACTTAGTTACTTATGGACATTTAAAAAATTTAATGTAATGATTGGCAGTATCTGAAGAGGCAAAAAATTCAGTTTTACGAAGCATTCAACTAACAATAAATGTAAAATTAAAAAAACATCAATTCATAATTATTTATTATTGTTTTCTCGGTTCGCCCTCCCCTCTCCCACGTTCACCCCACCTCTCTTTTCTTATCATCAGAGCTCGCATTCTGGTATGTCAACCTTTCAATAGTGCATTGTAGTCGTAGCTAAATTGTAAATCAATGTTTGTCAAGACATAAAGATGATAAAAAACATATAGTTATTAGATCACTAATTGTTATATTTTAAGATATTTTTCATTTTTAGATCATTTTCAACCCTTGTGTAAATTTTTTTTGCGTCATTTTCTTTTCCTTTTCAGGTTATTTGTTATTAAATGTTTCATATTTAAAATGAAAGACTAAAACAAAATTTGTATTGCATAATCGGTTCAGGACGAAATTCACTATTGCAGTAGACGCATTTCTAAACAAACTTTTGAGTATTTTTTTAGAAAAGTAGGTCATTTTCCTCTCATTTTAAGTGATTTCATAGGTCACATTCCTCTCATTTTAAAGTCATTTTAAAGCTCTTTTTTATAGAATTTTTAGGTCATCAGAATCCGAGCCCTGCTTATCGGGTTCGTCGTGTGATGTCAATGCGGTGAGGAGCGGAGAGTTGCGTGGTGATTGTCTGAGCGTAGCCACAGCGTTGAGACAGCAAGTCCGCTTTGCGGTTTTGCATGTTTTTAGCTACATTGGCGATTAGACTGCGAACAAATCGTACTGCTTTAGACAAATGTGTTAGCTCAGAACGTATGTAGACTACTCTCAAAAACCTGAAGTGTGAGTTCATTTTCTAACAAATTAGTTAAGTTATTATTTTCTTCGGCGTAGAATATAATGTGTTTAGATTTAGATTTATTTAGTAAAAAAACAGTAAAACTGTAAGTGACAGGAGGGGGAAAAGATTACCTGCGCACGTTTTCTCGAGTTCCAGAATCCATTCCCATCATTTTAACTACAAATAGTTGAAATATGAGTAAAAGTGAAAGAAAAATAAATAAAATCAAAATATAAAAAAATCGCGAAAATAGCAATATTTGAAAAAAATAGACATTTCGTTCCAGAGTTATAGAAAATTTACTTGCAATGGTAAACTGCAGATACGATTTTTCTGCATTGCTAACAAAGTAACTCGCCCTTACCTCTACTCCTACCACCACAAGAAAACGAGAGTTCAACAAAACATGCGCATAGTGAAGCTACATTTAAATCCAGAAGGAAAACAAAGGGTAATCTCAGCATTTGCTCAATGGGTCAGGGAAACTGGACAAAATTTGATCGAGAAGGGAGTCATTGACCGGAAAGATGAAGTACGTTATTTATTATAAACATATTAAGTTTTTAACAAAAATATACAATACAAATGTAATCTAATTTATTATGTAACACTGTTTTATTAAAATAATCATTCTTCTTTTTAATGATCAAATTGTATACAGTTATACATTGCAACAGTGATTCATTGCAATAATGGAATGTTTCTAAGAAAATACTAATCTGTGAACTATATTGTATCACAGGTTCCAAGATGTTTTTTACAAAATAATAATTGTTCGTTATGTGTTAAATACAATTTGTTGCGAATGTAGCCCTTGCGAAGAATACTGTATTATTCCCTCCACTCCAAACGTAACAAAATGAAACAGTGAGAAAACGAGACCCGCAATGCAATTCATTCAGATATACGTTCCTTTGAATATTGCGGGACGTGTTCAAAACCTTCGTTTCAAAACTTGGCGGTACAAACAGCCGTCAACGCCACCATACTGTGCATTAAGTGTGGACCGTTTGCCTACCCCACATTTCTGTTGGCTGCCCCCAACCGAAACTGGAGGCGCCGTCTGGTGGATCTTTCCAAACCACCCACGCGTCACGCGACGTCAAATAGTACGCCGAGCTGCCAACAGGTAGTGCGCGAGTGGTGACTGCAGCCTGTTTTCTGCGCCCGCGACTCTTAGTACTGTGCGCTCGTCGCTCAGAGGCGCCACCATCCTAGCACTCACTCAAGTTTTCGTAGTTGTTACTCGTCTTTATAAACTTTTTTTTATATCCCATTAAGTTATATTGTATTTCAAGTAGTCGTAGCCAAGAAATCGTGTCAATAAGTACTCGTCGTCAGTAAAAATATCTCTGAATGAAGGCTTTTCTTTAAAAAAATTAGCATTATTTGTTCGCAACTTACATTCTTGAGGATTGTTTCAGAACATTTTTTTTACATTTGCTATCTGAACCATATTTGATTCCTAAAATTAGTACTTCAATTTTCGTCATTAAAAACGAGTGAACGTGAGTACGGTTTTTCATATTCACAAAAAACATCTCGAGAACAGCTTTCACCTTGGACTTACCAAGGTGAACGCATGAACGTCGCTCTTCACTCTTCTCAGAAGCAGATCCAGAGAGTAGGCGAAGTGCCACTGGTTGAATACCGGTGGTTGGATGCAGCTCGTAGAAATGAAACTTCCAAGATATTAAATTTCACGATGCAGGTTTATTCCTAATACAAGTTTACAAAATTTACTAAGTTTAAAAAGATTTAGTTGAAAAGTTTACAAAGTTTAAAAATATTACGAAATTTAATTGATATGATGGAAATGAATACAATTTTGACACAGAGGGGTACTACCAACCTCTCGGGGCTGAATGCTACCCTTGATACGCCATTCCACATTTTTATAACTAAGGGATGATTTTGATGACCTAAAACATCACCAGAAATGTAAAAACAAAGTAAAATGACGTAAAAATGTTGATGAAAACCAGTTCAGATGAACCAAATCAAGCTTTTGGATATTGGATGGTTGCTGATGTAATCGAGGCTTCTTCCTTTCGTTCACGTGAACTCAACTTGCAAATCTTTGCTCTCTACCAGGACTATAATTACCCTCTGGCTTTAGTTATTGGCCGAATCGACTATGGCGATAAATACAACGGCTGACGTTTCAATTATTGAGCGAAGGAATTGAATAGGGCGAGGCATTCTGTATGTTGCATCTCAAAATATTATTTGAAGCAAGTACCATTCAAACATTAAAATTGATGGAATCGGTGAAAATGCTTCAAAAATGACGTAAACAGGCAAAACGTGACTTATTAGTCAAATTTTACGAAAAACGCAAAAAGAAGTGATATAAAAATTGATATTTTCCTTTTATCGTAACATAAAATAATATCTACACTAATAGGCATTATTCTTAAGTTAAAATTTTAAATAAAAATGACATTTCATTAAAATACGACCCCTCTTTATACTCTACTTGTTTATCATGTTTCTGTCGTCAATCAAGACGGGAATGAAGTGTGTCTTTAAAATGTACAATATCATTGGAACCAAAATTACTGTGAAATGGGACATTTCCCAAGGCCAGAAAACCGCCTCAATGCAACTCACAATCGGAATCAAATGTTGGGGACATAGTTGGGAGAGAGTAATATAAGAAGGCTGTATTTACTTAACGTCAATACTACAATCTTTCTTCGTTCAAAAAAATGTTACATTCTTACATATAACCAATATATCAAGTGATGTATTGGTTAATATTTAGTTCTGGGTATTCAATTTACAAGTGAAATTATCATTGCATGTTCGTATAATTTGCTGCAAATAATGCAAGCAGTTACAAATTACGCGAGAAAGAATGTACTATTGTAGCACCACTGGTTTATTTCGTATTTTCCAATCGATTAATTATACTGTAAGTTATTCGGGAAATAAACATTTCAAATAATTATAAAATTACATTGATTTATGCACATTTAATAAATTTCTCAATTTACATCGTTACCTCATTATCTTCATGCAATACACTGAATGCTCTATATTGAACTTTTATGTTTTAACATATTTTAATAAAGCTCTCGTGGAAATGAATGTAGTTACAAGTATAATAATAAAGAAAATTTGTTTCATTGTACGGAATATTGTGTTACTGATTTTCACTTGTCAATTATCCATTTTGCCTTTCAGTTCAGTGATTTCCTAGCAAATTTCTTGGTCGACTTTTTCATTGGCACATTGATCCATTTGCAGGAGCACAGTCAGCTTAACGTAATCCATAAACGGATGGCCGAAATCTTTAAGCCAGTAGCGATCTCGGACCGAAGGTTCTCGAGCTCGACCCACCTCAGGCAAGGTTGTACTTGTGTTCGTTCTTTCACTCCCTATCATCACATCTCATCTCCACAGTTATAATACCGTTAAATGCAATAGTGGTCGCTAATGACCTAGATGTTGTTGCGACCTTAAATAACCAAATAAACAGATATTTGTGAGAAGTAAAGCCAATCACTCTACGAAGGAACCTTTTTTTGACACTTTCCAGATCTTTTACTGACTGTGATAATCGTCTCACAAGTAGACTTCAGATCCTAAAACACACAGAATACTAGAAAAATTACGCTTTTCAACACCGTCACACGTTTTTATTTCATGCATGTAATGAAAACTTCGGGAATGTTCTCGTTATACTTCTTACAACATTTTACTAACTTTTGCAAACGAGTGGTGTCGGTCTGCTATTTTCTCTATGTGAAACACAAAGGAAATATTGGAAGGGACAGTCGATTAGTCTCGGTTACTCCTTTAATTATTGACTCATTATTTAATTTGTTCGGGTGCACCAAATACTGTAATCATTATCGAAGGTGTAGTGGTTATGGTATCTAGAAAAGTACGGGTTTTGCTCCCCAGAAGGAGCCTAAAATTAGACGCTGACAAACATGTCACATCCATGTATCTCCCTTACCGAGACACCTTCCCAGCAGAGGTGACCAAATTTATTATACTAAATATTTTTTCTCTTACTTAACAGCTTATAATGAGTCCGAAAGAGCACCTGACAAAAGAAACTGTTTGAAATGTAATGTTACTAATGTTACTGGAAATGTATACATAGTTAATAGTACACTGAGACACAACCAATACTTAGGGGCCCTAAAGAACCAATGGTTACCTCACGTAAATGAGTTGTTTAAAAAAACAATGACTACGCTCCCTATTACAACAGGAAAGAAAGTTGGAAAACATCTTCAAGACCTTGATCAATTGCGGTTCCAATGAGCTACAAATTGCCCTGACATGAATCCCATTGAAAATGTTCGTTCGATAATTAAAAGATACTTAAGAAAAGAATTTCATAAAAACTAGCCCATAAAACAATTCAATTGCATCTCGCAAAATGGCACTCAAATTGAAATAATAGATTAAAAATTGATTTTCAAACATACCTCAGAACAAGAATTTAAATTATGAATAAAATATGTATAAAATATTAGAACTCTGTACACAGAGTGTGTCAATATCTACAGTCGCAAATACATTTTGTCTTATTCAATAACTCTACTCTAATAATTTGGACACCTCTGTAAGCTCTCGACTGAACTCCCAACATGTGAGCTAGTGCAGTGTATGGAAGTGTATGTGTGTGAAAAGATTAGGGGGTGAAAAGGTAAAGAGGGAAAAGTAGCGCGTGGACTGTGGGCTGTTTGTGAGGATATTTCTCAATACGTAACACAATACAACTGTATCTTAATCTATTCGATAACAGCGCCGCTAAACTAAAAATCCAACTTAACCCAACAAAAACCGCTGTCAAAATATTCACCCTCAGACCTTGCTCTCCTCCCACTCCCTTGTCATTAAACAACAAACTAATAATCTGGCACCCACAGAACAACACAATTAAATATCTGGACTCAACATAGTCACACTTAACTGAAAATCATATACAAACTAAAGTCAATAAAAACATTACTACAACTAAAACCTTTTGTCAATAGAAATTCTTCACTTCTATATAGTACTGCCATAATAATAATAATAATAATAATAATAATAATAATAATAATAATAATAATAATAATAATAATATTGATGAAAAAGTTAGCTTGGTGATTCTAACATTGCATTTGTTTGCAGAAATCAATTTTGTTATGCGAAATGAAACTTTTGAGTTATGTTGAAAAATGGCCTCTTTAACTATGAAATCAATGTTAGTATTGTGCGAAGTTTAATTTTCTTGTTAAAAAGATTAGGAGACAAGGCATATGGCATGTAAAACTGAATGCTACTGCTTTTTATAGTTTTTTCTTATCATTCATTTATTTATTTGGCTTATATGCCAAATATATACTTGTCTTTTAATTCTTTCTAATCTGCTACATTACGTTGAGAAAAGAAACAAAGTAATAAACAATAAAGAATTTAGAAGACTTTCATTGAAGGTAATATTTGAATATTAAGCACAGAAAGCGTTTGTGATTAATGCAAAATTTCAAACTGCCGAATTTAATTTTGCTGCACACTACTGCTAGAAAAGTTATTGGCGTGCATGCTGTGTTGCCTTAGACGCATAATGTGAATTTTAGTTTATCTTCCTTTGAACAAACTGGCTTTAGAGTGTTCCAGGCAGAAAAGCTCATTGAACAATTACTGACATCGTCTTTTAAAACTTTATTAAATTACAATATTTTATTTGAATCAAAACAAGATATATCTGTTAGAAAATCATATCACTTGTAGAAGATACTACGCGCTTCAATCTGTAGGTGCTGCGCCGTTTGATATTGAAACCATTTTAGTGACGTCAGCATAACTCATACTAGCACGAACAGGAACATATGACGTCTGAGAACAATAACTGATGTTCTGAGAAGGACGATGATCTCAAACATTTCTATGACGCTCTCTCAAAGAAAGAATAATTCTGTTCTGAGAGTTCGATCGTGTGTGCTTCAGGGAGCATTTGGTGGCTGCATATTACCGTTTTCAGATAGCAAACCCTTGATTTATTAAATGTGCAGGGAAGAAACGAAGAATATTGGAAGAAATTTTGCTGAAAGTATTAATTTTTTAGTCTTGCCGTAAAATACACATTTGCCGACTTAGTTTCATACTTTATTGACGACCTTCGTAAAGTATATGAATCGTAGTCCCAGAGAATTAAGTATGAAAACGGATACTCAAATCACAATTTCCAAAGCTGTAGGAATATTTTCACGATGTGCGATAACTCTCCACATCACGAAACCTAGCTATCATAGAATATAGGCCTCTAAAAATTTCACCTACATTTCATTCTTGAAGATTTTGAAGAAATGAAATGAAATTCAATATAAAAGTTTTATTTTACTATACTTTTCTCACCAGTCTTAAAGCTCTAATATTATATGAAAGATAGATAGATTAGATAAATGACAAAAACTATAAGTAATCGATATGTTATTTTGTATGGAATTGAACATTTTCATAGGATTTGCACTACTCAGCCATATAATTTCTAAATCATACAGGCCAAAAATAAATATTTTTATTAATAAATGTTTTTATTAAATTTGTTGTGTATAGAATATCTAATTAAAATTTCCGAAAATGGTTTTAATAGGAACCCTTCAGTGTCTATTAGCTAAACGTTGTGGGAATACAATACACATAGGACATCATAATAGCTTTAGTGGCGGGATGAAATTACAAATTAATATAAATGTCTTACAAATAAAACAACCTTTGGGAATTCAAAACATTATATTTTGAAACAGGGATTAAATTTTCTAGGGAAAAAAACCTCTCCAACTATGGTACTATAAAATGGAATACTTTGTCATTATTGTATATTTTCCAAGATGTATAAATGACATTGCTAACAGAGAGGTAGGGAACATTTCATAATTTCTGTATTTCTTTACTGAAAATCTTGATTTTCAATTATTCCAAACCAATTTATAAAATCCTAGTGGTAAACAACAGCATTTCAGGACGAACAGTTTGTGAAAATTTTGTGTAATATAACTTAATAATAAATTTAATATAATAAATTTAGTATAATAAACTTTGAAAGGCCAAGGTTGGTTGGTTGGTAGGTTGGTTGTCAGTGATTCCGGGCGCGTCAACTGCCAAGTCACTAGTTCCGTAAGTGTAGCACGTTGTGTTTTGTTTTTTTCTCGGGAGGTGGCAGAGTTCTTCTCCCGCTAGATGATGAGATCTAGCGCCAACCTACCGTTGGCTAGGGGTGTTTTTGCCAATCAGGTATCTCCAGCGATTCACCGCCCCAGCCGGGACAATCGCGGCGGCGATGGTGTAACGGTTAGCGTACTGGACTGTTGTACCCAAGTTGGCGGGTTCA